TTTAAGATGCTTTAGATGCTTAGTATACCAAGGTATCTTATACATTTTTCTTGGAAAAGTAGGGATATTATTTACGCAAACCTCATAGATTAATGATTTCAAAAGACCAAAGGCATTCGCAGTATCTAAATTACCAAGTGAGTCAGACCAATCGTACCCCTGAACATACATACATACATGTAAGATAAGGACCAGGCGGATAAAGACCTCTTCTGTGTCAACTTCGAGGGAACAAACACTGCAGTGGACAGTGGTTCAGCCGAAGGTCAATACTCAAAAATATGCATTGTCTAACTTGTGATTGGTTGATAGGACTTAAGTGGGTTCCACTGTAGCCGTACCATAGCTACAACCTTGATACAAAAATTTAAATATTTATTTTATGAGAAACAAATCTTCGGCTCGTAAATTTTCAAAATACAAACCTGAGAAATTTTGCGTTATTATATTGTAAAATATCTTAGAATTTGTACCTTTAGAAAATACCAATACATGGGAGGTCAGCGTGGTTATTGTCCGATGTCGAAAAGTTGCAAAGAATTTTTGAATGGGACTAACAATAATGAGTGTACTAAGTTTGGATGGAATCGATTGGGCGGTACACATATTTCATGATAATTGGGCTTGACCACGGCCATTATAAAAAAAAAACTATATTAAATCTCAATCTATATAACAATTTTTAGTAATTTGGCTGCAGTAGTTACTTAAATACCGTAGTTTTCGTTTTTTCTAAAAATACCGTTATATGGAAGGCAAGCGCAGTTTTGATACAATTTCACGCATTTTCATTTCCAACCTAGCTTGGACGAATTACTTATTTGGACTTATTACGAAATATTGTTTAGTTTCCGAAAAAATTTCAGGTTGAAGCATAGTTGTTCGCAGAAAAGACTTCCACCTCCACAAATCGTCCAATTTAGCTTCGATCCATTCGTAAGATCTTCTCTCCTTAGAATATGGTTGGTGAGAGGTTTATTCAGACCCATAACCGGCGTACAGTGGTCTCTCCGAGTCAGTAGAAACTCACAGCTTTTTAAAATACTGAAGTCGAAATTTAAAGCCCACCCCACCAAGACTTACTGCCGCGCGCAAAGCACCAGATTTGCCTACTCAATCTATAGGAACAATATTTAGCATATAGTTAAGCGTAGGAGTGGTTCAAAATAGCCCACTTACCGCAATTAAGCCAGCTCTTTGCGCTCCTTCCAGCTGCTTCACGATGAAGACCTTGTTTAGCACGTTCCACCAGACGAGTAAAGCTGGCTTAATTATAGGTTCATAAAGCCTTGAGGCAGAGACTCCAGCGCTTGCCAATGGCCCATCTACAATAATATTAGGCTACTCTTGTCACCGTGACTCTTTCCTTAACGTTATTTCGCAAAGAAAGATTGCTGTCCAGGATCAAACCCAATTACTTCACCCTGTCAGAGAGCCTTAGCGGAAGACCGCCCATTACGGGAAGGTGGAACTCTTCCATTAAAAAGAATAGGCTCCGTTTTTCTAGGGTTCACACCCAGCCCGCAGATAAAGGCCTACTTTGTAATCTTTAGCCAACAGTTCTGTTGCAAAGCAAGCGGTAAATAAACCGAACAAAGTCGGCTCCAACCGTTAGCTTATTTCGGCAGTTCACAGTGGCAAGATGTTATTAAACCCCCCCTTTATGTAAAGGCAGGCACCAACCGCGAATTATTTCTGCGGAATAGGCTGCTAAATGCTCTCAACAACCGTGTGTAGAACCGCTTCAACTGAATCCTGCTTCAAGAATAGACGCTATCTAAGAATCAAATTTCTTAAGTGAAGACTAATCAATCCCTCCAACGCTTCAAAAGAAACGGGGGTATACTGAAGTCCATGCTTTACTGAAGGGCATATGCTCTAGGCCCACGACTAGGGTTGCCCTTTCTTTTGTGGTGATTAAGAGGACAAGAGATTTCAATGGCCCTTTTACATGAAGTGGTGATCGCACCAATTGATCCGTCGATTGAGCTTTCTGCCAAGATGCCGCCGCTCGCAGGTGCAACCGGAGGAATATCTTGAAGACTTTCGCAGTATAGGTCCCAGTTGATTCTTCTCAAAAAAGAAGTGCTCGCTGAGAACCCTCCAACCAGAGATGTGGGACATAGTACCAGGCATCTTCCGCCTCAGGCGTTTCATCACCCAGCACCGGAAGAGGCGTGCCAACCCCTCTGGAGTCGGTCTGGTAGACTTTCATGGTTACCTTTATGAAGCCATAGGTAATGGCTCCTCGGCTTTCAGCGACAGGCCCGGTAGACTCTGCAATGAGGAATATCAGCGCTTGCCGCAAAAGACCTTGGGACTACTTGAACGGCGATCCTTTCGATCTCCCTCGGCCGAGAGCGTTCTGAGGGAAGCCAGACGCAAGCTTGCGGACGCAAGGGAAGATCCCTTCTAGTTTAGTCCGCCTGCCTAGCGATATCGCTGAAGGGCTGAGGCGCCAAACCCGCTCTGCGCTTCTCGGGAAGATGAGTTACCGTCTCCTGCGACCTTTGTCGTGTGGTAGGGTCGGAACGCAGTGAGCTCGAATCCTCAGAAGCACCGTCCTGGCCACTTTTTAGCACCTCCTGGCCCACTCGAGCATCCGAGCAAGCTGCTCACATAGCTGCGCTACACACTTTCCGCTATAGCGCGCCAACAAGTGCTTTTTTTGGTCAGCACAGTGCGCTGTTTAGGCCTATCGGAGGAATCCTCCATCGACCTGGCTCTACACTGGTGAGGCCTTCTAATCGGCATGGTGTCGTCGCTTAACGCCCTTGAATTAGGGGGTCGTAGTACTTGTTAATCGTCCAAAAGTAGCACGATTACACTACTTCCCGCTCATAAGGTCTGATTTACGATTCAACTAAGCCTATGCACCAACGGTAAGGTGCCTGCTATAGCGAAGATTGCTCAATAGTACACATGTTGAAATCGGAAAATCTACTCTATTTCATCATTATCATTATATAATCGTCATTTTTCGATTTATTTAGTAACGATTATTTTTAAACGTTATTTTATGATATTTATTTTTTCGATCGAAAATAATCGTTATTCTTTGATTTTCATTTTTTCAATAATTTTTAAACGTTATTTTTTCGATTATATTTTCAGCGTTAATCTTGTCAGATCTTAGAAACCCGATAAAACTTGTACAAACGTAGACCTAAGATATCCTCAAGAAACACAAAAAAAGTACAGTAGGACAATGAAAACAAAAATTCTTTGATTTATTGCATTATTGATAACAGTGATGGGCAAAATTTTTTATTTATTTTATGTATGTTACCGCATAATTTTGGACCACGTCAACCGATTTCGATAATTCTTTTTGCATCGGAAACGTAGTGTCTCAGAGGTGGTCCCATACTAATAATCGGTTAAGATCCGATCAGTGGATCATGAGATATATATATATATATATATGAGAATTGAAGTCGGTTTTTTTTTTTACTAAAAATTACTTGTTTATATGGGAGTTGAAGTCGTTTTTTTTTGCTAGAAATTACTTGTTATTATACAAATCCTAACGGTTACGGTCTCTGCATTTACTACATTCCTAGCAGCTAAATTCAGTTGGCGGTGCAAGCGTTGTTTGTTAGGTAAAAGCTGTCAAACGAAAAGAAATCATTTAGCATCATTGCTGCGAAGCTCTAGGTATAAGTGCGATGTTCATTTAGCAACATCTTTAAATAATGTATTGTGAGTTAGTTGGATTTTTTTAAATATTCGCAATATGTTTTCTTAACTAAATACTTAAAGGCTTCACCGGAAAGACTTCTTATAAGCGCCATAGACGGTACGTCTGACTCGCGAGTCGGTGTAACGTAACACATATTTATTTTAACTAATATGTACATCCAAACCGACTCGCGAGACAGACGCACCATGTATGCCGCCTGTTAGTTACTTAGCATCACAACCGTTAGTCGGTTCAGACCACAATGCCTACTTAAATATGTAATATTTCACAATTATATTTTAATACATATTCTGAAATCAAATCGAGAATTTGTTTTCAACTTTTTACGCAATTAGAAAATAGCGTTAAAATCAAATTAGGTTCGGTTCATGAATCTTTCGTTTTAGAGTGTAATCCTGAATCCTGCATATTTTCCCGTCACGAAAAAAAAAATTTTACTTGCAACCAAAAGTGATGAATTTCCTATTCACTGAATAGAAGTGCAGTAAAATTAAAGTTTTCTCTACGTATGCACATATTTATATACATATTTACATATAGTATGGATATGTATGTATGTATTGTGCATTTGTACTTTAGTATTTTCGTTGAACTCACTTACCGACTACAAAGCTGCTGCGATCAGGGCAATACGAAGAAGAAACTTGTTTTCTTCGTAACTTTGGTGTGGTGAAACTAGCGTCGATGACTTTCTGACGCATCATGATTCAATAATACAAGGTTAGATAATTATTGACAGCTGCGGTTTGACACTCCCTTACAAAAGGTTGCATTTACGAAGGACGGAGAAAAGGGGAGGAATGAAATCACTTGGTGCGAAAATGGTAGTAGAACAGTACGCAAAGTAGGCAATTAGTAGTGAAATTCCTTTTGTAAATTCTAATGTATTTGCAGGAAATCTGGCATTTTAAACGGAATGTTGAACGTAATATTGATGTATCTATGTGAAGTACGTAATTTATGTGCTATTCAGCTGTATAAAAACTGCAAAATGACTCGAAACTAAAATAAGACTACTATGACATTGATGTAAACATCCAATTTAAAAACAGTTTATGTTTTCATCAGTTAAATATGCTTCATATGCATATACAAATAAACATATTGCACAAACGCTCATACTTCTATTTCACACCAAAGCTACACTGTTTCCATGGAAATGTGCAAAGAAGCAACACGGGTCCACTGCTAAGGGAGCGGTGCGAGAGAGACAACTGTCAGTTTATCGAACCTTGTATTATTGAATCATGCTGACGCATATGGAATTTACCATGCATATGATCGTGTCAGTCGCGAACGAGCAGGGCTGCAATTCAAACGTCTATAACGGAAGAGAAGCGGAAAATAGCTTTGATCGTGTACGAATAGTAGTGCACTAAATCGCTAAAACGAATTTCCTTCATCTGCATGCCAGTTACATATAAAAGTTATTTTTTAACTAAGAACCGCAAAGTGGTAACAAAGTAATTAAGGGTGTCTTATATACGAAATTAATTGGCGGTTAAATGGATAGCTGGAAGAAAAAGTGTTGAATTAAGTCAATGGTCTGACCTACTTAACGGTAAACGTTCGGCTGTATGTGTTAAAAACTAATGTATATTTTGTATGTAAATCAACTAATAACCCGAAATTCGAAAACGAAGCAATAACTTATAATTTTAGTGCTAAATGAAGTGAGAAAGCACACTCAACACTAACAACTTTGGCCGTAATGAATGGCTGCTGAATTTTTTTTGTTTTTTTTTTTTGTTTTGGCAAATTAACCCACATTCTGTTGGCAGAAGAATTAAAATTTAAGTAACGTAAGCGAACTCAAAAACAATACTCATTAATACAACAAAAATAACAACGAACATACAAACTGTAAACTATGTATAAAATATAAACGAAATGCAAGCAACGTGAAATTAATGTATTAAAAAAAAACTAAAAGAAGTCACCAGCAAACTAACGCAATAAAAAAGCAGCATCAGCGCTAACGACAACTAGTACCTGCGTACAAATGTATGTGTGTATGTATGTACATGCATACCTACGTCATATACAAAGTGCATTGTTTTTGTAGGTGGATCATAGAAGAGTGCAGTGTCTGTAAAAAAGCCAGCGTCACCGCGTCGAATGATTGCAAATTGCCATTTTAACTTTAAATACTCCTTCGAACACAAAAATCTACAATACGAACTAAAGCTTTCAGCTACATAAACGTACTTGCAAATATAAACTTACTTACTTGTTACAAAAAGAAAACACAGCTTCACGTGAGTTAAAAAAATATATATGAACCTGTAACTGATACTTTACTTTGCACACAGCCACAAGTTTATTTTGCGAGAATTTAATAGCGAACGAATAACAAAGCGAAAAAGAAAAAAAACAGAACGAGTTGAGCAAAAACAAATTAAGAATAACTCGTATACATTACAAAGTTTCCTCTTACAATGTTCATTTAGTTTAGTTACTCGTTTAACTTGCTGGATTTTCGGTTTTGGTGCTTAAAGTCAAGCTGCTGCTCCCATTTTCGAGCGCACCTTACTTAACTCGACACTGGCTTAAAGGCGCTGATTGTGTGCATATACATACGTACAGCTGGTGTGCTTTTATAAAAGAACTAAGAATACATACAAATAAAGTTAGAGAAAAAAGAAACTAAAATATAAGGTGCAAATTTGGCACAACAACACCACCAAAAAATAAGTAAGTAAGAACTCAGCTTAAACGAAATCGCACGCCACTGTTTGTCGATTGGTCTGTCGGTCGACCGGTCAGTTGGCATACGTTACGGTTACAAATAAACACTTTTAAATATATCACACAAGTTTGTGAATAAGCCCAGTTAGCAAGTGAGTGTGTGCGTGCGGGTGAGTTTTTTCACTCCTCGAACACGCAGATTTTGCACGGAAAAATATTCCAGGCAATAATATTGAAACAACGATAAAGTTGAAAAGCATAAAAGGGGCACAAACAAAGCCGGCACACGAACAGTTAAACTTAAAGACGTTGGCTGTGGAGACACAATAGCAGCCAATTGGCAGCTCGTTTCCTTGTCCTTTTTTGGTACTTACCGTGGTGTGCGCATTTTTTTATTTTTTTTTGTTTAGTTTCTCAGAATACTTGCCGTTATATACATACGTTAACTTCGTTTCGTTTCATTTCATTTCTTCTCATTTTTTCGAAATTTTTTTTTTTTGTGTTTTTGTTTAGTGTGTGAGTGCTTCAATTTGCATAAATTTTTCGACATTTTGCACCTCTTTCATATTACACACAAAAGTACATACTTTGTATACTTTGAACAAAGTTGAAAGCCATTGAAAGTATGGCCGCAAAATAAACAAAAACATCAACGCAAATGGCAACAATACCTACCAAAAAGAATATCACCATCATCAACAACAACAACAACAACAATAAGAATAACAGCCGGCTCGTGTAGCTACAAAATATCGGGAATATTACTTTTCTGCTGACTTTTTCGTTTCGTTTCTTGCTACAAAGTGATTATCGACAGCAAAATCAAAAGGAAAGAAAAAGTTAAAAATCGACAACAAAGACGCAAGGTAAGTGCTGGGTATATCAAATAAGCTTTGTAAAGTGAGATATCTGAAATTAGTTTGTATGTTTGACAAATTACTTGACGTTGCAAAATTTAAAGCGTGAGAATTAACTCAATACAAGAAAATCGCAAAATTTCTATCTGACTACATTGAAATTTTACAGAAACAAAAACACTTTTAAATTCCCACTACGTACTTTCAAACTGGTGTAACCCCACGTCTCCATTTTCTACTAAATGTGTCTTAACCAGGGACCGAAAATAAGTTATTTTTCGAAATTTCAATAAAAAAAGTCAGTCGGAAAGAATTGGTCTTTTTAACATTCGTATATACAATGTGATGCTTGTTAGCCGAGGAATGTTAATCTTATATGATTTATTTTTTTTGTTTTAGTTTTTTCAAAAAAGTCAGCAGTTAACGTTATTTTTCAGTCAAAAGTTTACTTTTATTTTTTCGATTAAAAATTAAAAGTTAAAAATTGACTTAGTTTTTCGGTCACATATAAATGTTAAAACTTGACTTTTATTTTTTTGGTCAATTATAAAAATTCAATCTGACTTTTATTGTTTAGGCCAAAACAGCAATTTACATATTCACAATACAATATGTTTTAATAAACAATGCACATCCTTTCAATTGCAGTTTTCTATCTTCTGTAATTATATTGAGTTTCTTTAATTTAAGCTTTAAGTTAAGTTCCTTTTTACAGGAATTATTCGGAATTCAATTTAACAATTAATATACATAGCTGCCAAGTTCTGCTCCGACAAATTGTATCACAAATCGCTAAGAATAAGCTTAGTGCTGAGAACGCGTGTTCTACACTGACTTGTGTCGCTGGCCCTTGATGTATAATTACGGTGACCATCCGTCCTTTATTTTAAAGGACAGTCCTTTATTTTAACCCCCTGTCCTTTATAATTTTTTCCTTTATTTCTTAAACTGTCCTTTAAGTCGGCTCTGCATTTTTCAGAGGTAAAATTTTAAACGCAGAATATGTAAAATAAAAATGTCCCTCATAAAATATAATGAAAACTTTCGCCAGTTTGTTTCCCACCCCACTTAAGGGTTTCTATTTAATCGGTAATCTTTGTACAATGTATAAAGCACAGGGAAAGTTGTGCCCAGGATCGTGTTGCACGCTGAGTTTCCAGTTCCACTGAAAGAGAACAATAAACCCCCTGCTGCACAGTGGTTCAACACTGGCATTCATTCACTTCATTTTTCACTTAATTTGATTAATTGTTATTTTTTATGAAAGCTTACAATATTTGCAAGAGACCAGTTGAGCATGATTTCTGAATTTTAATTTGATGATATTAAATTTTTTAGTGCAGAATGCACAAAAAGTAGCAGCTTTGAAGAAAATGTTCTGTTCCAGTTAATAAATGTTACATAGCAAAAGCAAGTTGAAAATAATTGTATGGTTCTCCCAAAACAAAAAAATACACAAACAAAATTTTGAAATGTTATAAAAAAATCTTCACCAAAATAAATATTTTTTTTTTAGTTTTTAGTAAAAATTGGTGGAAAAATGAAGGCTCCAGTGGATTATGAACATTGAATTCGAATTTTGAACCACTGTGTGCTGGCTTCGTCGTGCAGTATGAATTATGGTAAACGCATTTTTGTAGCAAAGGATGGCGAAGTCCTTGAAAAGGATTTGGCTTCATTTTTCGCTACAGCAGGGGAACTTATACAATTAAATAATATAATTAAATGGTAAATATTTTACTTAAATTACGATATGGCCAAGGTACTTTTATCATACAAGTTGTATGTATGTATTTCCAAATCATTTTGAAAAAAATGTCCTTTATTTTACGTTGGTTAATATGGTCACCGTATGTATAATACATGCCAGATCTCTTAGTCGAGGATATATAAATTTTTTGCTCTCCCACTAATCCATAAGGTCCATATCAACATCAATGCGCTTCTCCTTATAGGTGCCTATTTCCATAAATGCTTTTCGAATGTAATCTTCGGAAAAAGTAAAAGTCAAGTTTAATCTTTTATATTTGACAGAAAAAAAAGTAAAATTTTGACTTTTATTTTTTTACCGAAAAAATTTAAGTCATAGTTTAACATTTATTTTTGACCGAAAAAATAAAAGTCAATTTGTAACTTTTATTGTTGACTGAAAACATATCGGAGAAAAAATAACGATTATTTCTTTTACTTTTTTGAAAAAAAGCTTAACCGTTACGGTCCCTGGTCTTAACATCTGTAAAATTTCTGTTTTAACTTTGTCCCGTTTTCCCATGTGACATATCACTTTCAAAATGGCATAAATCCAATCAGATCGATCTGTACCCAATGAAGATGGCGCGGCAAAATGAAAACTGAGTTGTCAAACAATGAAATGACAGCTGATGCTAAGACAGCGATGGTAAGAAATTCGGCAAGACAGCTATGGTTTTATAGTGGAAATTTGCGGTCCCCACCTGACATTTCTGTCTTACCACAGTTTTTTTAATAGAATCTGTAGAAGGTGGAGACGTCAGGTGAAGATCTCGTAATTTTTAAGCGACTTCAAAAAAAGGAGGAGTTTATCAATTCGTCGGAATATTTTTTTTAACCGATTTCCATAATTATTTTAAAGGAAAGGTGGTACCTCAGAGGTACCGATCATTGGATCATGAAGAAATTAACGGTACTCTTAAATTTTTATATGAGAATTAAAGTCGGTTTTGTTTTTTACTAAAAAATTACTTTTTAATATATGACTTTGGACTTTGGTATGGTAGACTTACAAATCCGTCCATTTAACTTGTTCATGTACTACTTTTTGTCAAATGTATTTGGGTGACTACCTATGTCCACTATTTTGCTTTCTTACTCAATTGTTAAGTTTAAAAGTTGGTCCTATTGCTCTTCGAGAAATGAAATAAAGCAAATAAAAGCGCTTCATCTCAGAGCAATTGCTTTTAGTAACTACTTTCTGCCAACGATTACTGAGATAACTATCAAACAATCTTAGAGCGCTAGCAGAGAATCCAAAATAATTTTTTAATTTCCCAAAATAGGATGGAATGATGTACTGTGTAGAAAGCTTTCGAAAAATCTAAGGCAAAGTTAAGTCACCTCTGTCATAGGCAGGGCAAATGTCTTCAACTACCTTCAGCAAAGCCGTTGTACAATAATGGCAGGCTCTGTAACCAGACTGACATTCAGTTAGTAGCTTCTTTTTATTAATGTATTCAGTAATTTAAAAAACGACTAACTTTTCTCAGCTTTTAGAAAGGCCTAGTCATACGCTTATTGTACGAAAATCTGTTGGCAAAATAGCCGATGGCTTTTTGGAAATTGGAATCATTTTCGCTACCTTTGAAGCATCAGAGAAAGCTGAAGTTTTTACTGAAAAATTAATAATGTAAGTCAACGTTGGCGCTATGTTTTGTACTATAATTTTCAAAAACCTAAGACTTATGTATACCGCCTCTCCAACAGCATTAGATTTTATAGAGGACAGACTTCTTATGATATCAGCCTCAGTTACTGCGTTAAATTGGAATGCGTTGCCAGGTTTATAGTATAACAAATTTTTAAAATTTACATTATTTTTTTTTGTTTATGGAAGTACGGTCCACATCGCAAAGTTATTGACTTTTTGAAAATTAGCTTTATATACTAGTTCTAAAAAATTAGCTAGATAAGCTCTCTATAATAAAACTGCGGTCTGGTATTGCAATTGAAATCACTATCATTTAGTCCGAGAAGTACGGACCGAAAATAACCATCAAACACTAAGTTTTTCTCGATCAAATATAAGCGTTATATTGGTCTATTATTTCCATCGCTAATTTATAAACGTTCTAATGGAAACTACATAAACTGCCATAAATCTTTTACGATTAAGAAAATCAAAATTGAAGCTTAAAAAACGATTAAATTTAATCTGAAAATTAGAACTCGATTTTTAATGGTTAAATTATGATTTTTATCAAAACTAACTGTTTACACCGATCTTAATATTGTTTAATTGCATCGGTTATTTGATTACCATTCCACAAACAGCTAATTTAAACGCTTAGATAAAATAGCGATTAAATTTTTACTTAAATTTTTGATCGAAAAAATACAACTAAAATTTTAACTCTTAATTTTGATCGTGAAAATAAAGGTCACATTTAAACTTTTATTTTTAATAAAAAAAAATATAAGTCAAATTTTAACTTTTATTTGGACTGAAAAGATAAAAGTAAAATTTTTATTTTTATTTTTTACCGAAAAAAAATTTAAATTCAACTGTAATTTTTGATTGAAAATATACAGGTCAAGAAATAACGAGTACTTGTTGCCTTTTTTGAAAAGAAATAAATAAAAATTTAAAATCATCCAAGTTTAATATTGCTTGGCTAGCAAGTATCACACTGCTGTATTCAAATATCATACAAGCATATTCTTGCAGTCTGACTTCTTGAATTGAAATTTCTAAAATAACTGTTAATTTCGATCTCCGATTTTTTATTTTTTTTGTGTTATAAAAGATAGGTTCCTTCAGGAAAGCTCTCCACGCGGCTCAAGCTTTGATCGTCGCATGAGGTGGTTAGCTAATGTCATTCCATCATTTAATACAATTCGTAACAATACAGATACGACGTCAAAATTTGCTAAGCCAGGCAATGTCGAAAAAAGCAGTTTTCAAAGGACCTGGGCGTTAGACTACTCAACATTAGAACTTTCGCTAGCAATGTTAAGAAATATCCATCTAAGAAATTGCAAACAGTTGTAACCTCATAATTTATAGATAGACGGTAAGAAACATTTAGTTCAGTGAATTAAATAAGTAAACACTGGAAAGTTTTTTTTTATCTTGCTACGCGGTTTTGCATTTTGTTGATAAGCGGTTTTGTACTTTAAACGACGATATGTATGTATGTAGGTACCTGAGTTATCTAATAGTTAATGTTTATTTTTGTTAAATTCAACTCCATTATTTCTTAAGCTGCAATTTAAATTTTATTTTAAGTATACCCGCCTACCACCGTTACGAAGCT